ACTCTGCAAAATGTTTTACATGAAGAATAGTTTTGGTGCTTATTGTAAAAACTGTATTAATTCAGATTAAGTTAAATATTATAAACTGACAAAACTGCAAATAAAAACAGAACAACTATGACAAAAGAAAGCAAAGATAGTACCAATGGTAATAGATGCCTTGGGTGCAATTCCCAAACATATGGAGCATCACTTGGACACCACCAGCACTGATAAAAGCACCATCAAATCATTTGCAAAAGAAAACCTTTTTTTTGAGGGGTGGGTACAGCCTACATGCTGCAATACCTTTATACCATCAAATAACCTCTCTGAAATCTTGAAAAATGAAGAAATGCCAAATTCACTTTAATTATCTGCCTGACTGTGCAACCAACCATAATAATTCAAAAACTAAAATAGCAATATAAAGGAACATTTCAGGATGCTGTAAGTGTTCTAAAAGTAATGTTTTTGAATGAAGAAACATACAACTACATACCAGTGTAGTTATATCAGTTGGAATAATGGTCTCTATACAACTTCACAGTACTCAATATAAGAAGTCTTCAACGTATGATCAACAATTAACCCCAAACTTTCCATTGCTAAACAAGGCAGTTAAGTGAGTTACAGTTGTAAAGTGAATCATGCAGTCATTAAGCAAATCTGGCTTCCAGATTTTGTATATCTGAAGCTTATAAATGGTAATCCCATGACCCCAGGACAGTGCAACTGTGTCTTAAATACATGTCAGTTATCAAGTGTCCAAATTTTAATCACATGACCTTGAATTGCTACAATGATTGTAAATGTGAAAACTGATCATAAGTCACTTCAATGTCATTGTAACATTAAATGTCACTAAATGAACATATTACCTATATTAGGATGTATATCAGCAGCAATATTGTATAAATAGTTATAATTAATAATATAATTATCACCTTATTTTTTCTGGGCTGATTTCTTAGCCTTCTATATGCATTCATCTATATAGCCATTGCTCATGTTTTTACTAAAGTAGACTAAAACTAACATTTATGAACTAAACGTGAAATATCTCTAAGCAATGAAGACCATATCTTTGAAATTAGTAAATGCCAACTCTCCACTAATCACAGTTTTATTATTTTTTTCTTCTCAATCTGCTATCCAAGATAAAATTTCAGAAGCGAGATTCAATCAAATGTGATTTTTATGCCAGAGAACTTTGCATTATTACTCTGGCATTTGAGAGATTTCTTATGCAGCATTATAAAACAATATTGCAAAAGCTGTGTATTATATTGTATTGTATTATATGTCTCCAGTGTATCTGGCAAATAGATATGAACGCGTGGTCTGTGCAATCAGGAGATTTCTGTAAAGATTACTGTAAATGCTAAAGCAATTAGAACAAATGTGGACTTGTTTATTGCTAACAGCACATGTAGCACTCTCTCATAATTAATAGCCAAAGGGACAGTATTGAATTAGGCAAGGGATATTTCTGAAGGCAAGTGTATAATTTCCTTATTAACAGCCCAAACCAAGATATCTATCTGTAAGGCTTCTAAAAATGCTTTGAGAAGACCTGAGGTATGTTTGTGGTTTAAAAGCCTGAAGGTACTCATATTTCTTCCTGTATGCAAGCCTTGAAATTCGTTTCCATAGTTAATTATCAGTAAAACACAAATAAAATAGAACACAATATACAATATCACAAAAAAATGCAAAATCAAGAATATAACATTCATTTCCTCCATAGTTGACAAGACCATGTATATTTTGTGGTGTAGACTAAACTGAAGCTTAAATGTAGACATAAATTTTATAACTTAGAAACTAATATCATTTCCCCGAAAATAAGACAGGGTCTTGGTCTTATTTTTAGTGCTAGGTCTCATTTTTAGGAAGTTCTTATTATTTTTGAGATACAGGAGACAATAAGTGTGGTGACCTCATGGCTGCTGTTGTGTTGCAATATTTTCAGGGAGGGCTTATTTTGGGACGATGGTTTATTTTAGCGCATGCACTCAAAAGCCCAATTGGGCTTATTATCTGGGTAGGTCTTATTTTCAGGGAAACAGGATATGTGGCATCAGAACTTGCTAATTGTTATTTTAAATGTGGTATATCTATTTTAAGGTATTGGATCATTTTTGTTCTTATTAAGTGTATTTATTATATAGATTTATATGGCCTCCCCAATTGACACAGGCATCTGAGTGATTAGCAAGCAATAACATTAAAAATAAGTTAAAAGAAAATGGAGCACATGGAGCACAACTCAAATAATAACATCCATAATAGTAAACTGGCTTGCCCACTACTCAGGCCTAAAATTATGGGAAAGAGCCAAGTTTTTAATGTCTTGCATAAAGTCAGAAAAGCTGGGGCCATTCAAATATTGGATTATACGATGTTTCATAGGGCATAGCATATCATTTTTCATGAACATGATGGAAAAGGCATGCCTCCTGTTTCCCATTAGATGACATCTCTTAATGGGAGATGTAGCATGTTCAGCCTGCCAGAACCCATTCACAATAAAGAAAACCTAAATATTTTATGTTTATGATTTTTGTTACCTAGCCTTTTCTAAACCTGCATCTCAATGAGTTTATATACTGAAGCAAATAAGATCATCATGTTTTCCAGTAAAGCTTATAACAATAAATAATTGTTTATTATGAATTTATCCTGATTCTCTAAGAAGTGTATTCAACTTGTAATGTGAAAGTACAACTGCCACCTTCAACTATATTGCTGGCAAAGCAAACATCTGCATCAAACTTGATTTAAATTAAATGAAATTATAGGTATTGAAATGTTACAAATGACAAGGTATTTTGCATTTTGTGAGTTAAAATTTAAATAATATCCATGAAAAGAGAGAAGCAATTCTATTTATAATGAACCATTTATTCAAGGACAAAATACTTCTAATAGAGAATATATTGCTTTTCAAAATCAAATGCTTCCATTCTTTATCTACAGCCAAGCTTCTGTAAGAGATGCAAGCTCTTCTTTTAAGCCTTAGCAATTTCTGTATAACATTATAGGATCAAATAAAATCCTTTCCATTATTCCACATGTGAGATATAGATGAGAAAATAATAAGACTTGCGTAAGCATGTTTTCCACAGAATAAAAGACATGTTTGCATCTAGAACAATCAAAGTACTTAGAACTACAGATTCTACATTGATTCTGGGAAGACGTGCTTTCAAATTTTTTGAATAAAATATAGAGATATGCAAAACTGCTTCACCAGGATCAACAGTGGAACTTATTTACACAAGTTATAACAGTATTTATTTCAAATTGCTTTCAATTTTCTCAAAAACTGCTTATATTCACACTTGAATTTTCACTTTTAGAACAAGAATGGTCAACATTTCAGTTTGTAAACATAATCATCCATTCTAGAAGCAGACTAAATTATCCAGGTTTTGAAGCTCATTTAAAAACACAGAGGCACATACATATCAAGATGATATATCCCAAAATAATGGAACCCTTCCTCCCTCAAAAATGTTTCTTACCTTTTAATACTTGTTAGGCTAGTAAATCTTTTTGTTAGGATTTTATGATTAAATTCATGTATTTATATTTTAAATATACTAGTTGAAATACCAGGTGACATTTTTAAAAAAAACAAGAGTGTTATATTATTGAAATGTATTAGAACTCCAGAAATCTATTTGGAGTACAGGTATATTCCATAGGAACATATATTTATAGAATATGTCTTTTCAAAGGAAAAAGAATGAACATGTCATCTCACAGGACTAAGGGTATTCTCTATCCTGACCTCCTTTAAGGAAAGACAATGCTGAAACATAATCCAAAATCTCAGCAACTATCAGAACCACAGTATTTAGTGGATGAACTGTTTGGAATTAAAATACAACGTGGAAAAATATAATTAAAGCATTCCAGTGTAAAATTAACGTTTCCCTTAAAAGACCAATGTTCACAAAAACTCAGGAGTTTCCCAAAATGCTCCATTAATTTATGGAAAAAAACCACACTCGAGTGGAGCAACGAAAGAAATATAGGAAGAGCAGAACGTTTTCCTGTCAGTTAATTTTGCGACAAAAATGGTCCTCTTAAATTTACGAACCTCCTCAGTTTTAAGAATCTTAATCCGGCTAAGAAAAACAAAAGCAATGAAAGAAACCTCTGTGCCCTCAGAGAAGAAATGCCAGAGAAGAAATGCTATCTTTCTTCTGTTGCTAAAGACACCCGAGACACCCCAGGGCTTCTTACTTTCTCCTCATCCGACACCCGATCTTCGAAGTCCGCCATTTTGGCTTCTATCTGTCTAGACCCACCTGTCACCCCGCGCACGGCACGTCGGGACGAGGGAACGTGGGGGCGGAGCCAGAAATTCGACGGCCGGATGTCAGCGGAGCGGATGTGTCCCGCTTGGTTAGCATTATTGCCTTGTTAGGAACAGGAGGATGCTCTGCAGGGCTGCTGGGCACCTAAAAAGTCCGTTTGAAAGAACAACTTTTGAAACGTAGATGCTATCCTACACCTTCGCTCATTAAGGCCGGTTACCCGGGCCCAATCCTGTTTTTTTTGCTCAGCCAATAACTGCATCAGAACTACTTTGATTCCAAATCGCAAGGCAGCGTTTCATGAGTAACGTTTTTCTTCCCTTTTTCCAATCTCTCTCCAAATACCTGTCTACGCGCAAACAATAAACCTGGTGCTCAACCAAATACATTAGTCCTGCTTTCTTAACGGGCCTGTCAGAAAATCAAACCGTTCCGATATATTGGCGTATCCCTGGCAAGATGTAGCTGGGTTCAAAAGGGCTTTTCCCGTAACAACAGCGCGAAAAGGATAGCAACTCCGATGATGAAGCAAACAGGACAGCTGCCCGTCTGAAAGCGAATCCGAACGAGAGAAGAGAACAAGGAACCGGCGGGGGCGCCTATCCGGCTCCCCACCTACCCGCCGCTCGCGCCGGCATCCATCAAACGGGTTGAAGCGGCCTGGGCGGCGCGCCTGGTTGTTCCCGCCCTCCTGCCTCCTTCAGCCAGCCAGGCCTCGGCAAGCCGAGGGCGGGAGTCATGGCGGAGAGTAGCCCTATTAATGAGGATGCTGCGCCGTCTCTCTCCCAGTCGTCTGGCCTTGGGCCCGGCCCTCGGCGATGGGAGCGGCTGAGGCTGGCTGCAGGACCCTGGGCGCGGTCATTTGGCTTCCTGGCGTTGCTGGGTCTCCTTTATTTCTTGCGGGGCCCGCTCCGGCTGCGCGACAACTTAGTGGCAGGTAAGGAAATGGTTGCACAGGGGTTGTAAAGCAGCTCTGTGGGGGCGAAGGAAATAAGGTGGCGGGGACCGGGGAGGCGGGAAGCCTACGGGGGACTCTTTAAGGTCGGCACCGAGGAACCGGTTTTGAGGGAGAGCCGAGCCTGCCAAGTCGCTGCCCTGCAGTTTTGTATTGGTAATTTTGGAGTGCTGGAAGAACTTTGCACATGATCAGAGATATTATTTCTACTCATTCATGTTGGGTTTGAATCCTGGTGATCACAGCTGCTGCGCTTATTTATCCCAAACAGAGTTTGGGAAGTGTATTTTGAGGGAAGTAGTCTACAGAAAAATTAGAAAAAATCACAGAGGATTTCCCCCTTCAGATTCTCAATTTCAGCTCTTGCATATTTTTTCCCTTTAGTGTTCATTTTTAAATGCTTCCACTCTCCAGAGGTCTGGTTGTTTCTAGCAGTCAATGGCCTCTTGATTCCCCCACAGTATTGTATTTAATTTCTTTTTAAATATTTGGGTCTATGCTTTTTTTCTTTCTTTAAAAAACACTTTGTTCATTTTGGTAAGCCCTGGAGGGTGAAAAGTTAACACAAAGAACTGTCAAATGCCTAGTGTCATCAAAACTTCAAAAACCTGATCTTAACTTTAGGCACTTACGTGACTTTTATCGGAAAATAGCAAATTGGTAAGCATTTCTCATCCCCAATACGTTTTATTTTTTAAAAGAATTGTCCATTTATTTTAACTAGAGATTAACAATTCTAATTTGTGCATTACTTGACCAAAGCTACTAGAGATTTTTTCCCAAAAAATATTACTGTTGAGTGTAGTGCATTTTACTAGAAAGTTATGCATAAGATTGCGAATTTAGCAGCTGGTAGCCACAACAAAACAGTAAAATGGTATTATGTTTCTCGCTGATAACCTTAAATGTTCTGTGTGTTTGATCAAAGGCACTTGGAAAAGAAACTTACTTTTTTGCCCCAGGGAAGCAAAATGCAATGTTTTTTATTCTTTTAATTCCCATAGTGTTTAATGTCCTATCTCTAATTTACTGGCTGAATGTGAGATTTGCTCTAGGAATACTGTCATTTCAAATGCAGTGAAAGAACCTTTTGCTGGAAATGAAGCTAACTGTACTAATTATATGCTATTAGCAAGAGCTGTCAAATATTAATCTACTATTGTAACTGGATCGGATTTAAAAAAAAATCTTTTAGAGCATGAATAGTCTAAAGCCCTAAAGACTATGATTGAATTTGCATTATATGCTAAGTAGCGTTTTAGGGACATATGCATTGTTTTTTTCCCCATACAGTGCTTCTTAATTGGGTTTGGAAAGTTACTGGAGATTGTGTGGTACCTAAACATGGAAGATCCATTATTTTAAATATATAACCTTTGACATCATAAACTAAGTAGGTATATTTGAGGAATTATCTGTAGATTATACAGCTAAATTCTAACCAGATTTATTCATAAGTATAATATATGACAGCCAGTTTGAATAATTGTTAAAGATTGCAAGTTAGAAACTGAGAATATGGGTTCCAGTCCTGCATGGGGATAGGAAACTTTGGGTCAGCCGCTGTCTCAGAGAAGAAGGCAGTAGCAAACTGCTTCTGTAAAGTTGCCAGGAAAACTGCAACTTGCAAACAGATGGCAGGAATCAGTCAAAGAGACAAGCAAACAAAAGAAAAGCAATTCTCTCTACATAATGTAGCCAGGGGTTTATTTTTGATTAGTTCATCACTGACTTCAATTGAATGGCTTTATAAATTTTGTTTCTACATGTTTTGAATTTATTTTGCAAAAAGAACATACTTAGAACATATGTAGTAAGTCTTGGATCATTTAACCATTCTTTATTGAGTTACAGTTGGCTAGATTTGCACAATATCCTTTCGTAAGAGCCTGAAGATTCCAGTTGAGCTGGAGACCCAATGGGGAAATAGCACACTAGAGGTGGTTAATAGCAAACCCAACTTCTCTCTTCGCTCCCAGCTTGCCTAATTTTTATTCTCATATCACTGTATCTTTGTTTTCTTTTTCATTGCTTAATGTATTGTTCCATTACTTTATTACTGTTACATTTGCACTTTTCATTTATAACTCTCAAGGTAGAAATTCTTGGATTTAATCTTACCTAGATAACATCTTGAGTTTATTCACTAAAAACAGTTAACAGCTATTTATTTTAAATTACTGAATTTCTCAAAATGGAGATTAATTCTTAACACTTGCTGGGAGAATACAGTAAGTTGTGCCATATTGTGATTGGTATGGTTTTAGCTTTGTGTGATAGATAAATCCAGAGAGTTTGGTTAGGTTTACATTGTAATATGTGTGAACAAGACCACTTGCTTTGATTAATATATTCATCATTTTCTTAGCCTGAAGATTGTGAAATCCAACTGTATTAACGACACTTATCTTTTCATTGGCAGTGACTGTTTTCTTGAGCACACTGACTCCAAAATTCTATGTTGCACTTACGGGGACTTCATCTTTGATATCTGGTCTGATATTTGTAAGTATTTTACTGCATTTCTGTGTTCCTTAACTAGTCAAGAAATATAGTAGAAGTGAGCTAAATTGTTGCTTAAGTTTATTGTTCTTGAAAACACTGGAAACAAACTGAGTATTAGAGGAATGTTTCACATATAAATATAAGATTGATTTTATTGTATTTACTTCATCATTTTTCCTGACAAGTTAGTTTCAGTTGTTGTCATACTTGGAATGGACTCATTGATATGAATCTGCCTTAAGTTAATCTTGTCTGAATCCCATCAATTTCAATTGCCTAAATTATATAAGCAACTGTATGTTCATTGGACTGAAAATAAAAACTTGATTCCTGGTCTGTTTTGAGGATTAAACTATGTTTGCCCCTGCTACTGTTACATTTCTGCTCTAAGCAGAGAAAGTAATTTTAAAAACATGTTATATTTATGTATATAGTAATCAAGAATTAATTAGGTATCTTTTTAAAATTTTTACAATATGTAGAATTTGGTGAACATCCTAATATAATTTGATGTATCATTTCATCAAAGCTGTAGATTTTTAAAATTAGATTTTATGCAAACTGCTAGCGCAAATTGAAAACCCAGTGCATCTGGTATACTAGCTGAACTCCAGATGGTGCTGTTTGGTAGAATAAAAAATAGTCTTGCAATGAAAAATGTTTATAAAATTATAAAAAAACCTCATCTGTGAGGTTTCTGAATTCTGAAAGATAAGTGTCTTGTGATTTACTCAGAACAATTATTTATTGTTTAGATTATGTATATCTCATATGCTGAGGCTCATTTTGTGAAATGCAAAATGAGTTCTCATTCTTATGTAGTATAGTACTGATTGACCACTTGAACATGATGCCAACTATTAAATATATTTTCTTTCTGACATAAAAAGGAAAGTTTTGAGATAGTGTTTATTCTGTTTTTATGTCTGGTTAGATGTGAGGAAATTGTCAGTTATTTCTGCTGAAGGGTAAATGAAAAGGCAGGATAAAAATATTATATCAATAAAAATGCCAAATCCAGTTTTAAATCTCTCTTTTTCTCTCTCTTTCTTTCTTTCTCTCTCTCTCTCTCTCTCCCTCCCTCCCCCTCCCCCCCTCTCTCCAATCAGTCATAATAATTGCATTTCACATATTTTTCTATTTCTTATTCCAGATATTTGAATGGTGGTACTTCAGAAAATATGGCATGTCTTTTATTGAACAGGTTTCTGTGAGTCATTTGCGGCCTCTCATTGGAGGGGCAGAGAATGCTAGTTCTGCACAGGCAACTTTTTCTGCTGCTAGTGGAGAAAATGAAATGAACAGACAAAATCTTTCAGGTGATTATTTCTAATATTTGGCTTTCTGTAAATGTACTCAGTAACTAGTCTATATATTTAAGTTATTTAAGTTATTTTTATAAGGGAGATAGATAGATAGATAGATAGATAGATAGATAGATAGATAGATAGATAGATAGATAGATAGATAGATAGAT